CTGGCATCGCTATTGGGAGTAAGAATGCTACTATGGGCTCTTGGCCTCACTACTAGGAACAAGAAGCTACTAGGGGCTCAAGCTACTAGAAGCTCCTGGCATCGCTACTAGGAGCAAGGACGCTACTAGGGGCTCCTGGCCTTACTACTCACACTGCTAGGACGCTACTAGGTCGTTTCGCCAAGTTACAGCCCCAGTGCCGCCTCAGGCTTGACGTTCAGCGGTTTCACTTCAACTTGCACGTCCATTTGTGCAGGGCAAGCCCAGGGGTGGGAGAAAACTGCCCCAAATACAACACATGAACGAGCGAGTAACTGACGATTACTGATGCCCTTTGCTACTAGTAGCTTCTTGTTACTAGCAGTAAGGCCCTTGCTACTAGTGGCGATGCCCTTGTTACTACATACTTTGCATTTCTTGATGATTCATTTGCATGTGGTGCTTGGGCCAATACGTCTATGCCACAGCTTCCTGGCTCAAACATGCATGAACCCTCCAACATATCAGTTGACGTGTGAAACTGAAGTGTTCAAGTGCGCTGCTGCATGGGGACACCTAGAACTGAAAACAACACTAGAAGGACAACAGAGAAAAAGGGTCCGGTCTGAAGGTCTATTGGGTAAAGAAACAATGTCAACAGACGGGACAACTAATTTGTGAGTCCAACGAGTCGCCTGTAAACACTCAGCCCATCAGTGCGCCCAACGTTGCCTGCAAGTAGTGTGCCATTTCATCCCTTTTGGAACTCTGTGGCAGATGTCACCGTTTGCCCTCGCCCCGATGCATAGACGTCAGGCGAGATCAGCGCTGTCACAGAAGGTCCAGAAAGGTAAGTTAAAGAATTTTAAAATGTTAATTTGCTCTTCTTTGTGGTTCTCTTGGGAGAGGATAGATGTTCAGTGCCCTCAAGGGTTTTTGCGGACTAGTGCCATACATATGTGTTGCTTGTTATAGCCTTTGCAGGTCCAAGTGGCGACGCGGCCCAGCGGAATAGCTTGATGCATTTCAGAATCGAAGCGATCGAAATGGAGAATCATAGAAATTCCGATTCTTTGGGCCATTTTTCTGTTGCCAGTCATTGTTGCACGTTGTATGACCGTATATGACCGTATTGCAAGAGTAAGTGTGAGTTCTGCAAGATGCGTAAGCATATTTCAGCAAGTGCTTTTTCGTTGCAACTCTGGCTATCCGACAGCTTTGCATGTTGCACATGTTTCAAATAGGTTTGACTCAATGAATCTTGCCAAGGGCTGTGCTGGCCATTCTGGGAGCCTTTCGAGCAAGCCAATTGGCTTTTGCCAGTAGCTGGAGTGCCAGTAGCTGGAGGGAAGACTTAGTGCGACAGAAGGCGGCCGCACCGGCACATGGAAGAAACCAAATTCAAAAGTTTGACGATATTCAGCGCATTTTGAAGGGCAAAACTACTAGCGATGGCCTCCAACCTAAGAGCGATGGCCTCCACCCTAGTAGCGATATGGCCACCGCATTTATCCCTGAAGGGCCGCTAATGTAATGTTTTCGCATTGCTGCGTGATTGGTTATGATTGGTTCATCACCAAGCAGGCCAGGTGTGCATCAGCTTGATACAAGTTATACTTTTTTCTGGATGCGCTTGCAGATATGTAGGTTTCCTGGCCCAATAGGGATAGCTAGCATGTTGGACAAGCAGTTTCAGTGACGCAGTGGTCCCGTCAGTGGCCCCACAGAGGATGTCACCAGCGGAAAATATTTCACTTCGGGCTCGATAAGCTGTTTGGGTGGGGGCTAGCTTGAAGTATCTCGAAGTAAAGGACTCTTTGCGTTTATTGCCTTCTTTGGTGGAAATTTACAGTACAGTGTTTTTTTGCCAGAGCAGGTCCTGCTGGGCAGAGGCCAGATGACTGACTCCATCGTTTCGCACCTTTCAAGAGCACGTGAGAGAGACGGAATCCGTGGGTTACTGCCATATCATGCTTTCGCACACACACACAATTTTGCATCCAAGAGCAACGTGTTCCAACATGTTCACGCAAAGTTTTTGGGGCTCTGACTTTTCTTGTAGGGCTTGCGGGCAGGTTGCGAAGCCCTGCTGCGAGCAGCCGAGGAAGGCCAGCAGTAGAGGGTTACCCGGAATTCTGTAGAGGCAGTTTTGACGCCTTGTAAAGATACCTCCACAACTTTACAAGACCCTCACGCTAAAGACGGTTCTGAGACAGCATCGCCCCTATTTAAGGGCCAAATCGGAAAACCAGTGATGTGCACGTATATATGCGCTCCCAATAAAAAGGGGCTGTGAGGCTGTGACTGTGTTATGGGCTATGGAGTTCCAACTTCACCAAGTCAGAGTCAACTCAACATCGCAGCCATGCATGGCCGTGCGCATATCACATGCACAGCGACACTTTGCAGCCCACAGGTGATGCTCCGGCGACACTTTGGAGCCCAGGGCCCGTGAAGTTAGAGACCAAAGCAGCCAGACGTGTACAGAAGCTTAGTGAAAGGTGATTCCTTGACAGGTCAGACAAGAAGCTACGAGGGGCGGCCCTACTACCAGGAACAAGGACGCTAGTAGGAACGAAATCACCGAGGGGTCATTCAGGGGGAATGCGACGCGAGATGACCCTCCCGAGGTCGACTTCTTAATGTTCAAGTTTGGCTGGTGGGTGATGGAACAAGTCCTATAAACAAATAGCGATGGCCTCCAACCTAATAGCGATAGCCTGAAACCCTGGTTCATGGGCAAGGAAGCACTTGTGAATACTTGTGATCTTCGTGCCTCCAAGGAAGCACTTGCAGCATGACCCTTTGCTGGTGCTCGTGGATGAAACCGCCAGACGCTGAGTGAGTAGCAATGATGCAGTAGCCTGCAGTCCTTATTTTGCCTTATTAGTACTTATTTGTCATTTGTCTTGTGAAGCGGTCCCACAATGCGGAGAGAGTTTTTGTGAGCATTTTGCAAGATCAGGTGAAGGAGGAGTTCAAGTCGCTTTGGCAGTAAATTGGTGATTCGGCATCATCCACATGTTTGTCACTGCATGGGCCAAGCGATTTCCGACTGTGTTGAAGTCGAAGCTGAACTAGGGGCTTTTTGTGGCGACATGAAAACTTCCAAACACAAGTGCTCTTGAAAAAGAGACAACAATTTGGAATATATGCAATTTGGAGAGTCTCGCAATGTTTTGCATCGCACGAGGTTGCTCGCAGTCCAAAGACTAAAGCAGGAGCGACATGCAGAAGTGCTCCATTTTTGAGGCATGATTTTCCATAGCATATCTTTTGGGGTGGTTGAGCCGCGGCTTGCACAACGTTTGAATTTGACCCATTGCCCTTGGAAACTTTAGAACCCACTTGCAGGAGTCTCCAATCACAAGCCCGCCACTTTGCAGCACTGGCAGTTGTACAGGGCATTATGGACGAGTCGGGTCTTTGGCATCAATTGCTTATGGATCGTCCAAACTGGGTGTCCCGAGCCGCGGCTCGGCCCGACGCGCGTCCCGTGTCCGACACCTCGATGCGACGAGGCCTGGTGCTGTCGGTGAAGCTCTTGGTTTGATGTCCTTGAGAAGCTCTGGCGAAGATTGGTAGTCGCATTCCAGAGTGGTAGAGAAAGAGAGAGCGAGATTTAGAGAATGGACAGTCTATGGCAGGTTCGGTTTTTCTAGCCATTTTTCTGTTTGTGCCTGGCATAGTTTGCGTTGTCATCTTTGCACCTCGTAGAGGCCTTGGACAGTCGCTCGGGCTTTGTGTCAATCCTGCCGCTCTCTGCAAGGAAGACGAATCGCACAAATTCAGCGAAAAGAAAGGCGGGTTGTTTTCGTGAGCCTATCGACGAAGCATCCGATGTTTGACTGCAAACACTCTGCTTCGTCGATAGGGTGTTTTATGGTGTTTTTTGATGTTTTTCTTCGCAGCCAGACTTGTTTGTGGAACTTTGCAGCCAGCCTGGTGTTCTCGATTGTTCTCGAGGTTGAAGACAGCTTCAGAACTGCATCCTGGCTGTCCGGTGTGGGCACATCCGTGAAGCCATTTGCACATAATATCACTGAGTAGTTTTCAGCACGCGACATCTTGTTTAACATGATATCATTCACACATCATTATTCACACATGATGTCCAGTGTCAGGGACGCCCCGCTTGTGTTCCAGAATGATCCGTTTTGGACCTTCCAACATGATTCTAAATGATTCCGCTACTAGGAACAAGTGCATCGCTTCTAGTAAAAAGTGCCTTAACTAGTAGTAACAATGTTCGCTAGTAGAAACAATATTATATTTATATATATATATATATGTTTTTTTCATTAGTTGTCTCCACTGGTCTACGGCCTGCTCGATTGCGACCGAACATCGAAGGGGCGTTGTGCAGGTACGGTCAGGATTGCTGAAACCTTTGAGGATTCTTATATATTCCTTCAGCCCAACTCAAAATCATTCCACCACATGAATCACGGGCGAAAGAAGTCTGTGGAACTCAGATGTTCACTTCACATTGCCAAGGATCTACGTCATGGTGGCCAGCATGTTCAAGTACCTTGAAGTGCCCTTCATCCAACCCTTGAAGGGTGGTGGTCACGTGAGGCTGATGCATCGGTCGTAGCAGGATCATGGTACAACAAATATAACATAGTGTCTATAGTTTATGACTCTGATCATTTTGCTGATTTGTTTCCATTCGCTTGGGCCATATACCAGGACACCGTTTGATCTTTACGTCGAATTTGTGAGGTGACAAAACACAGCTTGTTTTGGCATCTCTCGACGGCCTGAGCAGCCAGAAGCGCACAAAGTCGGACTTTTCTACCGGATTGCAGCAGATTTCAGTCGACGACATTTGCGAATACAAGATAGTCAAACGGTGGGATAGGACATCTGCATGAAATCTATAAATGAAACCTGGATATGCCAAGCCATTCGAGGCTATGTTCATTGATGCTGGGAATTTTGAAGACCTAAGCAGGTCCCTGCTAAGGACCTACGCATTTTTTGACTCGTCGAATTGCAGGATGGATATGGATGGCGAGCAGCTTCGAGGGCTCACTGAGATTTACTCCATGGAAGCGTCGGGAACGTTAAGAATGCAGATTGAGACGGGCATTGGCAGAGAGCAGAGTCGCAGAGCGAGAGCGAGAGAGAGAGAGAGAGAAAAAAGACATTGTTTGTTCACCCATTCAGATCAGATTTGTTGAGTTTCAGTCTGGCGTGCCTGACAAGGCTGGAGCTTGTCAGAGACCATTTGTTTAACATCGTCGGAGTGGAGGCCCGACTGGCCCGACTGGCGCAAGCTTGAGAATCAATAACGAGAGCAAAGCTTGTCAGGGAACAAGGTATGAAAAACATGCTCCTGATGTGTGATAGCTGGCTTGCGATAAGAGACTTATGAGCACTTGACAGCGCTTGACGATTCCAAAGCCTCTTAGTGCCTCGTGCCTTGTCCCAACAAGATATACACCCACAAGATTCCTTTCAGAAAGAGATCCTGGAATGTTCCATTTGATTATCTTCATTTCATTTCTCATCATTCTCCACCTAGTTCTCCACACTATACAGGCACAGGCGGCAGAGGCACCAGCCTTGCGCATTGCCATGTACCAAGCAGGGCAAGTCTATGCAACTCGTCCTGCAATGCTGCAGCAGGGCAAGCTACTAGGAGCAAAGGGCATCGCTACAGTGGCTGACCAAAGCTTGCTGGTGGCCCATACTCGGCTTGGAGCAAGTCGGAATAGGTCTTGAATTGGCAGAGGTTTTGCTATGAATCAAGCCTGCAGACACTGAAGATCTAATATTTGACTGGAGGGTGGACGATGGATGAGATTTAGGAGCAAGGATGTTACTAGGAGCTCCTGGCATCGCTACATATCGCTACTAGGAGCAAGAAGCTACTAGGAGCTCCTGGTCTTACTACTAGGAGCAAGAACTTGGCAAGAACGCTACTAGTAGCAAAGGGCATCGCTACTAGGAGCAAGGACGCTATTAGGCTCCTGGCCTTGGTGACCTGGGTGCTTCCTGTATTCAGCCCCCGACTAGCAAAAGGTGGACCGTGCCTTTGCAGTATGTTTGTTCCCGTTGTTCTCCGTCAGGGTTTGGGTCTTTCACCAATCCCCACAGATGACGAGAAAGTGAGATTGGAGCACAACAAGCGATGGCCTCCAACCTCATAGCGATGGCCTCCACCCTAAGAGCGATGGCCTCCAACCTGCTAGCAATGGCCTCCAACCTATTAGCCAATGTATAGCCTGCTTGAGGCCATGTCAGCCCTTTTTGGTTATTACTTGCGCCGTGCCGACGTGCGATACCAACTGGACAAGATTGTGTGACTTGGCGGGCAGGTGTTGCCTCACAAGTTCACTAGCTGAAAGAATGACAATGAAGGAAATTTGACTCAACGGATCATGACTCGTGTTCTTTGGTGCAATGGTGAAAGGGCACATATGATGTGCACATGTTGAATCAGGCCAGCTCGCTTTGAGAATCAATTACATGCACAAAGGAAGGGATCGCTGATGTTTGGATTGAGTGCTGTAACATGCTGTAACATATCTCCCTTTGGGATCCTTTCGGATTTTGTACAGTAAAGTTCTTCTTGCCCTCAATGCTTTGCTCAGGTCACTTCATGATGCAGGGGACGACAATGACGACTTGGAGATAGGCCATGCGGGTGATTGAGAGACTAGAGTCTAGAGTTGTTTTATGGATGAGTGACTACATGCTTGTGCATGCATGTAACACCTTGCATCAGTTGGCTCAGCCTTATGATATTATGTTTGTGCTGGCGCTCACGCCAGTCAAAGTTCAAGACTGATCACATTCACCAAGACATGTTCAGGGCACGTTCGTCACCAGAACATGTTCCAAAGATCTGCACAGATTCTGGGTTTTCCATGAGAAGAAAACGTCTCGCCTTTTCCTTGTCAAGAACCCTAGATAATACATGATATTACTAGGACCCAGGACGCTACTAGGGGCTCCTGGCATCGCTACTAGTAACAAGAAGCTACTAGGGGCTGCCACACTACAAGGAGCAAGGACGCTACTATATTAGATATCCTCGAGATATCCTTGAAGCTTTGGAGCGCAGGGGAAACTCGGAAGCGGCGCCGGCGCCCGGTGCCGCGGTGGATGGAGCTATCGTGGGCGATGCTTGGCGCAGCCAGAAGTAGGCAGAGACGGAAAGCGAGTGCCCCTAGTAGCGTCCTTGCGACTAGTAGTAAGGCCAGGAGCCCCTAGTAGCTTCTTTTCTTTGCTTGGTCTTTGGACCTGTCTTCCTTTTCCGTTTTATAACTTTAGAACAAAATGTAACGAAGCATGGCGGCTGCAGAGTTTTTGTCTGCAGTAGTTTTGGGCACAAGCCTGAATGAGACCAATTTTAGGTCGAAATTAGTCGTAGAGGCTGCGTCGGATTCTACGTGCGTATGAAAGCTTGTGGATTCTACTGTGCGAATTCTTGGGACAAACGTGTGGATCCTAACGGAAGGTGGCCACATTGCTATTGCTCTTTACGTAGACTGACACGCTAGACTGCATAAACGCTAGACGACATAAAGATAATTATCCCACACACTGTACCGAGGAAAGGCGAAAGTCGAGCTGACGTGTCTCTGAAGGTGTGGGGCAGTTGGAGATAGCCAAAGAGTATGTGAAACCAGCCCGGCAGCTCCGCAAGTCATGATGTCACTTTGTTTTAGTTTTGCCCGTTCCAACGCTGTAAGCATGAACCTGGGAAGTTTGACCGGTCGTTCGCATGCCAGGACTACATTCAATCCTTCGGCCCTGACGAGCTCCGGCAAATCAGGCACACTTGCAATACGACACGCTTAAGGGGAAACACTCAATCAACATGAGCCATACTTGATGTCCAGTGTGCGAACTCTATGATTGTTTGAACAAAGACAAAGAGAGAGAGAGGTGATGCACATAAAACAAATTTCCATGCAAAAGAGAATTTGAGCAAGGTCTTTAGCATCAGCTGAAGCTCAAGCGACCATGGAACTCCAAATCTCAGACTCCTGGCATGAAGGGGAGATGGGCAGTGTATTATACCATTGACCTAGCAAGTCTAGCTGAGCAACTCGTGGTATTCTTGAAAGCCCAATGTTCGTTGGCCAATTCCAATTATGTCGGCGAGACGATCAGTTTCTTTCAGAAGGACGAGTTTTTGACAAAGAGGTGTATCAGTCAGAATGCATTCCAGCAGGTGTAAGAGTCTTGCCTTTGGCATCCTTTGGCTGTTCGAAGTCTTCAAGTGTTCGATCTTCCATGGCAAAGGCTCTCTTCGGAGATTTGCGGGTCCTCAAAAGCAAGCTCCTAAAAGCTACTGAGGCGGGCACATTCGCACTTGTCAGGTCTCAGGCTCATACACAATTGGACCTTTGACATTCTCCAATTCCCCAACACCAATATAATCAACATGTATCTTAGTAAAGCTTTCTAGTCATTGGAAGCTACGAGGTGGAGGCCATCGCTATTAGGTTGGAGGCCATCGCTACTAGTAACGATAAAGCTTTCTAGAAGCGAAGTGAAGAAGTGAAGAAGTGAAGTGAAAGCTACTAGTAAGCTTTATGTTACTACTAGTAAGGCACTTGTTACTAGAAGCGATGCACTTGTTCCTAGCAGCGAACATTGCTCCTAGTAGTAATGCCAGGAGCTACTAGTAGCGTCCTTGCTCCTAGTAGCGATGCCCTTTGTTCCTAATAGCGTCCTCTTGTTAGAAAGCTTGACTATGCATCTCTACCACGCGGTGAACTCCAGACGGTGAGAAGTGAGTTCGTCTCCGCCGTCTCCGCACCGTACAGGGCTCTACCACGGATGAGGAGGCGACTGAGATGTTGGAGGAAGGACTTCGCTCGAAGCTTGCATGCAAAGTGGGGAGGCTCTGGTGGTACCATGAAGATATCAACAATTGCATTATAGAATCGTATAGTTTTGCAAGTTAACATAGTCTAACATAGTGTACTACTTCATCCATCGAAATCCCGTGGGATGTTCTTCTCTTCGCACTTTGGTGCAAGTAGACTTCTACCGGTGTAGCATTTGGCCGGTCGCACATGCAGTCCAGCTTCGGGACGAGTTCGTCCCACCGCTTGACCAAGGGGAGCTGTGGAATCCATCCGCATCAGCTACGACAACTTGCGACGACTCATCCTTGAAGCTGTTGCCTTTGGCTCCGTCCTGTTTGATGCAGCAGCTTTGTGCAATAAGTCCTCCAACCTCCAACCTAAGAGCGATGGCCAGCGACCTAATAGCACCAACCGAAGAACAATGGCCTCCAACCTACTAGCAATGGCCTCCAACCTCATAGCAATGGCCTCCAGCTGTTGAAGACCTAAGCTGGCAGCTCGGCATAAACTGGCACAAACATTCATGATTCGCATCACTCCTGACTTTGTGCCTGTGGGTAGTGTCCACAGCTTTCTGTACTTGGTTTAAGGATTTGGGGGGGATCAGACAGCAAAATTGCAAAAGGCTTTGCTAGCTGAAAGAAGGATGGAAGGAAAAAAACAAAACGTTTGGGTCTTACGTTTCAGTTTTGACGATCTAAGGAGCGAGAAGCTGACAGCAACTACGATCTCACACCGACTGACCGGAGAGATCTCAACTTGGGCTGACGGGCCGAGGAGCAAGGACTCTACTAGGGGCTCCTGGCCTTACTACTAGGAGCAAGAAGCTACTAGGAACAAAGGGCATCGCTACTAGGAGCAAGGACGCTAGTAGCAGCTCCTGGCCGTACTACTAGGAGCACGAAGCTACTAGTAACAAGAAGCTCCGTAGAAAACATGTCTTCAGCATGGACAGCACCCTTTTTTCCCGGGGATGTACGACGGGAAGATGAGTGCTGCAAGTTGTTCACATGTTCTCCAGAGCAATGAGTCGAATCTGTGGAAGAGAGGATGGGACAAAAACACAAACCCTTTGCTTGTTTTCAGAAACCCTGCCACTACCTCTCCACTAGAGAAACTTTAAGCAGCACTTGCCTTCCGGAAACTGTTCGACTATCATGGGAGATCCATCCCCAGCCAAGGACCGCTCCCAATCACAGCTTGCCAATCATTCAATCTATGATCACCCAAACTTGCCATTGCCCTGAGGAAAGGGTTTGCCAATTAGGGACGCCATGAAAGATCTTGATTTCCTTTTGAGCAACTGCTTGAGAATCAAGAAGGGGACAATTCAAAGTCCGGCAAAAAACACAGTGGATTTTTTTTGACAATTCACATGTTCTTTTGAGATTTTTGAGAGCAGAGAATCAGGTAGGCTAGACTTTTGGTTAGTCTTCCCCTTTCGCAGCATCCCCCGGCATCCCCGGAGCCCAGCAACAAAGCTGGCGTTGCTTCGATGTCTCTGAGCACAATGTGTTGGAGGCGGAAAATGACGTGTGACAAAGGAAGGAGCTGGGCTGAGAATCCTCTACAATCCAGGCTCGTCACGCTGAGGAAGCTTTCAGAGGAAAGCCTCAGAGCTACAAAGACACCGGATTCAGACAACCTGAGGGTCACTGCCATGAGAGTCACTGTCACTGCTATGTGGCTATCAGACTATATCACACTGCCGTGTGACATGGTTTTGCATTGGCATTGAGGAGATATCAATGTGTTAAAATGACAGCGTGTCCTTGGGAGATAGGCCTAGACCCACCATTAAGACTCCGGAGCTCCGGCCCCACGACGTCCAACAAAGAGCTAGGTGTCATGTTCAGCTTGACAAGCTAGATTTTGGAGGGTTAACGGAACGAGCTGTCCAATCATTGCGAAGATGCACCCATCTTCCACAGAAAAGGCGAAAAGGCGATGTATGCCGCTGCACACAGGAAATCCATATACGCCGCATCAGCGTGACCTGACATCCATTCGAATGGTTCCACGTCGCTCAGGCGATGGAGGTGCGGTCGCTGCTCGCAGCTCAGATCGCGGGACGGTCTTTACGGCATCCTACAGATGGACTCATGTTTGGAGAATTTGGAGTGGAAGACATAGACACACAGCACTTGGCATATGTTGGCATTTTTTAAGGCCCGGATTCAATCAGATGTGGCGCTTGAGAGCCATGTCTGCCCCAACCTCAGAGTCATTAGGAAAAGAATCGTTTTCTTCATGTCTGTTTAAAGTTTTGTACTGACGCCTAGCAAAGACCAAGATTCAAAACCAAGAAGCAGGCATTTTTATTCTGCCTGGAAGTGGTGACAATGGCCACTACACCAAGATATTTTTGCACTATTTCAGACTGATGATGTGGCCGGCATGCTCCATGTTGGCCTTGGAACATTTAGTCTTTGTTTGATGTGTGTCATTGCCTACCATCTGACCATCCAGTCTACTCCAAACACATACGTGCTCGGCATGCACTTTGTTGTCTACCTATAAACTTGGAAAGTTCTGAAAGCCAGGAGCCCCTAGTAGCGTCCTTGTTCCTAGTAGCCTGGTTGTTTGGTTGCTTCACTTTACTTGATTTTCACCTGACCATCAGTCTCCGTGACGTTGTCCCCTCCAGGATGTGGCAGAGCGGTGGGTGGTCAATGAGCTGGGATTCTATGAAGGCACATGGCATCGCAGGGCCAACGGCCACCCTGGCCAACGGCCACGCTGTTTTGGAACCATAAGGGCACCAAGTAAGTTGAGGGTTGATTTACGGGCAGATGCTGCTCCACGGGGGACTGTGTTACCATTGTGTGACACAAAGCAAGATGCCTGTACCTTTGGGGTGGCTATTCTTCTATCCTGCAGTAAAAGTACAACACTGACATGTCTATTTGTTTGATCCCTTTTTGGTTAGACTTGCAACACCTGCCTACACCTGCTATACCAGCACCTCACCTCTCTTGCTGTGGGCGGCGGTGGGCACATGATTTGCCACAGATGACAGCTGTGGAGCAGCGGATTTGGCCAAAGATTTTGCCAATGAGCTGGTCGCATCTGGCTACCAGGAGCGCTTTGCAGAACTCAGTTTCCCTTCGAAGATGATCGAAGCATTTGCGATTCTTCAACAGCTTTTGAGTTTTCCTTTTCTTTAAATTGGCACATGTCTCTACCGACTGTGACACAGATTGCCGGTGCCCTTGCAAAGATGTGTACCAAGCTGTTGCAAGCTGCTCATTGGCACCAGCGTTGCAAACAAGATCGCCTTCAATCACATATTTGCATAGAAGGAGAGATGTACCATGACAACTGGTGAGAGAGAGTGTTTGGCAAGCATAGACTTATCTAGTAAAGCTTGACAGGATGACTATCCACCAGAATTGGTGCGTGACGGCGTGCGCCTTGTGATACACTAATGCCTTCCGTGCTGTGGTGGTGTAGCACAGCACAGCCCACTGCAGCCCCAAACTAGCTCAGGTAATTTTAGCACGAGCTGGGCAGATTCTTGCTTTGCATGCAATGGAGGTGGGGAGTCCTTCTTTGAAACAGAATTGTATGTGGCACTCAAGCCATTCTCGCTTTGTATCATGAGGGTCAAGGTTGAGTGCGTCCAGAGGATAAGGTCTGGGAGGTTTTCCAAATACTTATGTTTGCCAACTGTTGTTTCTGTCTTGGGAAGAGGAGAGCTTCATTCAGGCTAAAAGCATCCACAACTTTCGGCCACAGGCTCATCGTGGCTTGCCATGTCTTTCAGCCTGGCGCGAGGGCTGCAGTGTGTGCGCCTATACCAGGCGCATCAAGTTTTAACTGCAAACAATTTTGTCAATGTAACTGTCATATTGGTGTATGGAAACATGAATATATTTGCACTAATGTTCATGAAAATATATGGGTCTTACTCATGAAGCACCGATAACTAATTCGTTAGAAACCTGAACATATACGGCAAGAATGTGAATGGCCCAACCTGGAACTACTTCTAAGTCATCTCGTTATGAAGAAATGTAGGTTTTATGACTGAGACCGTAAGGATTGCCTGGACATGCATGGACAAACTTCCACACCAATAGGAAATCCAGGATTTGCAAGTTACGACCTGGAGAGTTTGGGGTGCTTTTTCGTGTTGCAGGCAGAGAGTTTCAACTTTCTTTCTTCCATTGTTTCTCTCGAAAGTCTGGACCTCAGGTGTGGAGCATTGCGGAGCAGTGTTTAAAGAGGGTTTGAAGCCATTCCAATTGGCCATTCCGGTGCTGAAGCCATTCTCACACGTTCAAGTCTCACTATGCGGTCCAGGTTGGAATGGAAGTGCATGGATCACCGAGTCCACTTACGCGGAGTTGCAGGGCGGTGCTCGGGAAGCCCAGGGACTTGGACTGAGGCAACCTATGGCAACTGACATCAACGGACTGAGGACGCTACGAACGGGGCTCCTGGCCTTTCTGCTAGGAGCAAGGACACTAGGGGCTCCTATGCCAAGCAAAAAGGAATTTTTTGAATGTCCATACGTTGTGAGGCCATCGCTCATACTGTCCATACGTTCCATGTATCACCTCCTCACAATCATTTTTGCTGCTTTTCTTTGGCTTTTTGTCCATCTCGTTTGGGGAGTCCGGTGCTATCGTATTTGGCCGATTCATTTTGGGTCCGATGTTCGGTTCAATTGTCGTGTGACTCCGTTTCACCAAAAGGACTGGAAGCAACATGCCTAAGGCATGGGGGCGTTACAACCGACGTTTGGGTGCCTCAGCGTCCGCACAGGCCATGCGCACTTCATAATCATGTTCCGTGCCAGATCGATTGATGACCTGCAATCATATGATTTCATATTATGTTCTTGGCACCAATCAAGCCAAGAAACTCTATGCAATTGCAGTTTCCCGCGACACTGCCGACCACTTGTGCCGCAACGGACTCGGAGGATAAGCATGTGGCACTACTCTGCAGTCCTGCCAAGGTTGGGCGAACCCTACCAGCGGAGACCGCTGGCGTTTCGTTTTAGCTTTCCGGCTGGACAGGAGGGTGGGCTACCCTGGAAATGTTTAAACTTGGTCCCGGCACAAAGTGGGGCATTCAGAAAAATAACGTAACTTTGGCAGCAGAACAAGAGGTCAGCTACAAACGGAATACTTCCAGATTGCAACTCAAGGGGTCAAGGCGCTCTTTGACCTGCTTCACTTTCGGCCAAGCTGGACAACATGGGTGAAGGGGTGAAACAGCATCAGCAATAAAGCAAGTGATAAGACGAGTTTGTTTGGAAGTGAGGAAAGCACACTTAGTTTTCCAAGCGCCTCACAGAAGCAGACCTTTATACTATACATACTATACTATAATGCACTATACTGTACTGGTATAATCTGGTATATGAAGGAGCTATAAGGAGCTCAATTGCATGTAAAAGAAGGAGTCAACTACCGGTAAATGAAGAATCCACTTGCCCGCAATGAAGGAACCTAATTCTTGTAGATGAAGACCTTTGAGCATAATTAGTTGCCAGGGATGCTCCTCATTGTTGTGATGAGGTCACCGCAAGTCCGTTGGCAATTGCTGATTTGAGGCCAGAGCTTTCAGGGCTTTCGACGCAGACGAACACGCTTGTGCACGGTTTGCTTTGATTTGCTTGAGAATTAGAACAGGCTTGGCTCCGTTCGTAGCGATATACTTCTCTCAGGAACCGTTGACTGTTCGGACTCAGGTTCTTCTCTGACTTGGCCTGCAGCAACACTCTCACAGGAATCCCAATCGCCAGTGCGACTTCG